TTTTTTTTTTTTTTGTTTTGTTTTTTTTTGTTTTTGTTTTTTTGCCTTGCTTTTTGTTTGTTTGATCCTGAAATCTTTATAACTTTACTTTTAACGCTTGCACCCAAATGCTGACGATAATTCTAATAAAGTAATGATAAAGGCTCGATTACACAGAGCAATTTTCTGTGCAACTGAGTGTTTGTACGGTGCAACGGAGACGCAATCGTTGCCAAAAGTAGAAACGAATTCTACTTTTTTGGCAACGATTGCTGCAACTTGTCTCGTAACATTTTTCAAATTGCGCTGTAGGTTACACGCTGCAGTACTCCATGAAAAGCTGCAGAGGATATTGCTCCGTGTAATCGCGCCTTAACAATGATTGATAGCAAGCTACAAGACCCTTAGAAACCCGTGTCAAAGATCGAGCATGTATCAAGAACCTAATTGACCGTTTACGAACATTCAAAAAAAGAATCCGGACATTCCATCAATCCTGAGCATATTACTATTATCACAAGAGAAAATCGCTGGCATCAAGAGGAAAGTTAAAGAGGCCATTGATAATACACACAGGAAACCAACAATGAATCTGGATGAAGGTTATAAAGTTTCAAAAGTTTACAATACTTTTTTCACCTCGCGTCGTTTTGTCAATGTTTTCACCTCATTGTCGTTGCTGTGAACACTTGTGGATTTGGCGTAAATGGACCCTCCCCAAAAAGAACTTGGATGGGAGGCTAACATGGAAATACAAAAAAAAAAACACTTTTTCTCGATGGAATGTGTGACATTTCTTTTGTATTTCTATTTTAGCCTCACATTAAAGACAATTTTAAGAAGGGTGCATTCAAAATCCACAGTCGAAATATTTCTAAATTCAAGCGTTTTTGGGTCCAAGATATTTGATTTAACAAAACAATGATGATGATGATGACGAACCACTTCAAAGTACTCTCTAAGACGGCGGCTACCAGGGCAATCGATGTGAGCCGTTTTCCAAAACAATTTTTAGGAACACTATCTGCTTTAAAAACTGCATTTTTGAGTTTCCCAGTTGATGTTTTTTGTCTTAAAATGACTGATTTTGGGGTCAGCTGTCCTTTAAAGTCCTTTAAATCTCGCCATTAAATCGATCGTACGTGGTCATCCGAGCCACACTTTGAAGGTCTTACCATTTGCAGTCATTTTTCGAGCAAAGGCAGAACCTTCTATTCAGATTTTTAATTTTAGAGATCTAGCCGGCTTGATGTTCAGCTTTAAGCATTCTTACGGCTGAAACAAGAGTTGGTAAAAAGCAACAAAAGAAAGATAAGAAAGTCATTATAAGTGAGCCGACATACCTTTTCCTGGAAGTCATCAACATCTCTGTCCCTTGCCTTGTACTTTTCGATTTTRCTCTTTATTTCCTTAGCCAAATCCTTCTTTAGCTAAAAACCACAAAAAACTCATTCTCAATTGTCGAGCCTGTTTCGACTTCAAGTCTGTTCTCGGCCTGCTGTGTATAGCCGTTAAAAAAAAAAAATTTTTTTTGATTTTTTTTGATTTTTATAAGGCTATAACTTTAGAAATATAATTTATAAGAAAAACTAGTTTATTTCTGTTCATGTTCACTGCTTTCACTTTACTTGATGGTGATGACAAGATGTCATCGAACACTTCGTAACTTTTCGTAACTAGATTTTCTTCTACCTTTAAAATGGCGTGCTATCCGTAGATTAGTCTATTCAATTCAGTGATCTTTTGGTTTTCACCTAGTTTGGATTTGCTCTGTTGTGATTGTGAAGGAAACTTGCAAAGTCCAAAGTATTATTTTAGCTGTAAAAAAACGAAGCGAGAGCGCCAGAGTTGGAGGGTCGAGCACACGCGTTTTGGCGGGAAATTCCCGCCAAAATCCACAGGTAGCCCAACAATATAGGAAAGTTGGAAAACTTTAGTGAAACTCGCCCCCCTCCCTCTTGCTACGCCCCTGAAAAAGACGTCATGCAAACGGTCTATTCCGGCAGAACGAAAATGGCGCATTCTGTGCATGCCTTGGCGCCGGTCATGAGTGACGCCTTTCTCGTGATAGTAATCTATACCTTGTCTTTGTTGTTGTATGCCACTGCAGCTGCCGCGATCTCCAAAACCAACAAAATGACCAGAAGGACGAGGAACTGAGGGTAAGATAATGTCAAATTCAATAAGTGATCTATTACTTAGTTGAACATTCTTTATTTCCTTCCGTGTTTTGGTCCAGTCTTCTTAGAGCAGGACAATTTAAGTCGAGGGTTTTTCTCCCGATTTTCCAAAAAACCTAACACGCTAGATCCCAATTCGATCTGTAAGCTAGCTGTGCCCTAAATTAGATTAGCCCAGAGGTTTCTTGGGGTTCGATCTTTGAATTAGCCATGCCCTGACTTAGATCAGCCCAGAGGTTGTTTCAGGGTTAGATCTGTGAGTTAGCCATGCYCTGAAAAGTAAAGATGCTCTTTCTAGTCCTGGTATTGGTTCTTCAGTCAGTTAAACGTTTACTCATTCGAGTTTGCAAACTTACGATGATCAACATGCATCTGTTCTCTTTCCAAGCCCCACAGCAGCCGAAGAAAGACACAACAGTAATGATGGCCCCAACAGCAATCAGTAGTCGTGGTCCAGTGTTGATCCCATAGTTATCCAGCATCGCCAGCTCAAAGTAATCACTCATCGTCAACTCGCCCCATATTCCAATCCCAAGAAGAATCAAGCCAAAAACCTGGAAAAAAATTAATTTTTCAGTTGTGTAATATGGCGTAAATAATGGTTACGGTGCAAACAAAAGAAGTCCTTGGGGCCCTAAGGGGTTGTTTCAAGTCTCCAAAAGAAATTCATTTTGACTAAGCAAGCATACCCCGATTGCGCTGAGCAACTTTTGAGCATTTTTTCGAGTTTGGAGTTCTATCCTATATTTTGAGTGTCCTTTAGGACTTTTTCGCATTTTGGGCAACATTTTAGCAAAGTAAAGTTGAACTCTTAAAATCACAACTGTTTTTATTCCTATACGCTGATCGAGACAACAGTTGCAACAGAGAAATGAGGCAATGGACTGCAAACAATCGATCGTAGCAATGAAAACAGTGATAATGGTCAGTTCAATAAGATTGCCATATATGTCTATTTCAAAAAAAATGTCATCGCCAAAAGCTATAAGCAATAGG